GGGAAGGGGGCAGGCAGGCAGCAGTGGATGGAGACATTAAGTTTCTCCAGGCACAAACCAGAAAAAAAAAGAACCACAGACCAATTAGCTTTTCCAAGACTTGTGGGTGGTTTGTAGTTTGTAGCTCATGGGTAGCCACAAACCACCCTGATTTGTCATTTTTCCATTTTGTTCCAGTACTAGTGCCCTGTCCAAATGCTTTACATAAAATATAATTAATCTATGTTTCTGTCTTAATTGTAATACAGAACAGCTGTATTAGATACTGTGGCATGAAGTTCTGAGTTCAAATGGAGGCTAAATGGAAGGTGGAGGGGAATGGCTCATACTATTTTTCCACAACACTAACCCTATTCAAGCATTCAGTTTTGAATGTGAAAGTTAGTGTTTCTGCCCTTGCATATGCAGTCCTCATTTGCATTCCTAGGTAAAGACTGGGGAAAAAAATGCATTCACTGCATGTAAGTGAATGCGGTTAGAGGATTACCCCATGAATGGACACTCTGCCTCTGTAGGACACAGCCTATGGCCCAGCTCCCCTGTTTTTGCAAAAGAAAGAGAAGTATTACATTGCATGTGCTTCTTAGTTACATCACTAGGTGGCAATAAATATAAAGATTTCCATTATCTATAATAAAAGTGAAGGCAAAAGATGAAATAAGAATTCAGCTAATATAAGGAATATCTTCACTATGTTGCCATGCCAAATATTTCTCTCAATAACCAGTACTTTATTGATAGAAAGGAATCAAAACATATACCTTTGATTCAAAAATATATTGGCATAATTTTGAATACAATTGCAGAAAAGTGATTCATAAACTATTTACACCACATGAAATAAATAATATAGCAAACGTTTAAATTCAGTGCAATTCAAAATCTTCTTCCAATGTTCTAAGACAAGCAGCTGTTTTAAAGGGTGAGGTAAGAAGTCTGAAAAGTGTCTATGAAATCTTTTTCTTTTGGTTTTGCTTGATGTACTGTATATGAAAATGTTCTAAATAATAACTTGGATTAGGAGGAAATGTGTTTCATCAATGTATTTTCAGTTGCATATCAGAAAAGTACATTTTTTCTGACAAGTCAGCTGTAAATTAACAATTGTTTTTTCTTTGAAAAATGATTTTATATATTATTCACCAGTATTTTGCCTATAGTCTGTCTTTCTGTTCATCTATAGTCTGTTCATCTAAATGAACCCAATAGCTGGTGTCTAAATGTCAAATAACCCAATAGATTTTTTCTTTGGATGGAAATTAGAAGGCAGATACTTCTAGGTTTGAAAGGTAACGTAAATCACTGGTCAGATCAATTTCACAGATATCCAAAGAATTCAGGGTGTGGAAAGGAAAGATGAGGAAAACATGTTTCGAAAAAGAAAAAAGTATAACAGAGAGTTATACATTAAAACCATACAGCAGATTTTTCCTCATATCTTACAATTTTCAGTAAGCTGAAATCTAAACATTTTGAAAAAAATGCACTAAATTGGCTGAAAATGAGAGATTATCTACATTTTATTTTCCAAAACCAAGTTCTAATTGTATTGCGTCAGCATCACTGTAATCAAGAAACTTTTCATGGAGGAGATTCTGTACTTTACTCTCCTGAATATCCCCAAGCAGATCCAGGCACTACATTATATAACTCAGTTTTTGTCTGGAGGTGAATCGTACAATTTTGCAGATTTAATGGCTTTGGAAATTAGTATGGGAAATAGTGGCCTTTTCCAAGCTAGCTGTTGTTCAAATTGGTTTAGCTAGCAATACCTTTAATTGAATTTGTCAGCAATGAAAAAATATGTCTTCTAACAGATGCTGGGTTAACGTCTTATAATTATGGTTATTACTCTCATATAAATATCTGAGCATAGAAACAGTGGGGATTGAACAAAGTTGCACACACAGATGCAAAGTCAAAATAATATGCAGAGGAGGCAGGCTGGGTCATGAAGATTTGTTTCTTCATTGACTGAATAAGAGAGATGCATTAGTCTTTCCACAATGTCTTTAAAATGTCAATGTGTAATTTGCAACTGTGGGAAAAAGAGTTTCCAAAGTCAGATCCAGTCACTGAGAGTTCATCCAACAGCCAGCCTAACTCAGGTTGCAACTATAGGGTCAAATACTGTGGGATTTCCTCCACTTATGACGAACCACAAATCTGTTCTCTTTACTTGAGAAATCTGTAAATCTTATAGGATGCCTGGGGTGTATGTGTGGGGGGTCAGTTGTCCAAATCAGGATCTGACACTGACCACATGAAGCAAAGGCTGATTTGAGTTGGCTCAGCCTTTTTTTTTTTTTTTTTGCTTCAAAAGCAACTTTTTAACTCTGCCACTGGAGGGCTTCTAGTTGTTCATGCCAGAACAATTCAAACAGGCTTTTCCATGTCTGGTTAGTTATGATACATTCTTATAAAGATAGGGGCCATGTTTACAGGTAGAGTTTCAGTAATGTAGGAAGTTGGGGCATGATGTCCAGGATTATGGGAACACCCTCCCATATTCTTTCCTACCCCCAAATCTCTCTCCATTTTAAAAAAAATTCTCACGTGTATGAGATTAGTGCTAATCACCCTATCACCTTATTTCTGGGTCCTCATTCTTATTATGTCCTGATTTATGCCCCATAAAATAATTGGCAGAGGTGGGACCATAAGAAGGAAGGACAGAAGGGGGAACTATGGGCTAAATGTTGCATCCACTGTTAATTGTGAATCCCCAAATCAATCTGCACCCCTATATGAGCACTGCAAATCAAACTTCTGCCAATCCTTTTCCCCCATCACACCTTCAGACTGAAGCAGATGATGTGCACATGTGTTTTATGGTCTCACTGGGAAATGATTATGTATATCTATCTGTCTTGAAGCAGATGAGGCTCAAAGAATTTACTGCGTGCTTTAGATTTGTAAATAAAATTTAAAAGATGTTAAATACATCCTTTGTTGCTAAAACCCCAGTTTGATACTGTCAGGAAGAGAGAACAGAAAAAAGAACACAAGTTAAAATTACAGGATTATGAAGCTGGGAGAGGCCTATAAGGCCATCAAGTCTAACCCCCTTTTTAGTGCAGGAATACAAATCATTTGGCCCTCATTTCTTATGAAATACGGAGTAAAAAAAATCTTAAGCTTGAAAATCCATTTGAAAAGTTTAATTTATGAATGTTGTTGGGAAAATCTGAATCTTACAAACTGTAAACAATTGCTTCAGATATGACAGGCTTACTCAGTTGTTACTGATATAGAAAGACTCATCTAACTTAGAGGGGGGCAACTAGCCCTTCCCTCTCTGTTGTTGCTCACTCTACAGACACTTTGGAAAGCAATCTCTCTCTCTCTCTCTCTCTCTCTCTCTCTCTCTGCATGTTCTGTGTTGTCAAGTTGGAACTGACTTACTGTGGCTTTCAAAATAAGTTAAATATTTACAGATGTTCTGTGTTGTCAAGTTGGAACTGACTGTGGCTTTCAAAATAAGTTAATTATTTACAGATAAGGCTTTTGACGTGAGATATTTACGGAGTGGTTTTACCAGTTCCACTCCCCCAGTGAGTTTCCATGGCCAAGTGGGTATTTGAACCTTGTTCTTTAGAGTCTTAGTCAATTGCTCTACCCACTGCACCACACTGGGAATCACAATGCATCTGTAGAGTAGAGGAATGCTTCCTGCTTATGTGTAGGCCCTCCACATGAGATGGAATTCCAACTGGGGGTGGTGGTCTTACTTGTAGGCAGAGCCTATGTAAAGAGCAGGAACATATTTCTGGCAGACAGTTTCCACATGGAAAAAGCAACAATGAAGTTTGAAAGTATTAGAAGTTCCCTAATCATAGTGAGTTATGTATTTCAGTAAGGAGGAAACGATCCTTAGTTGACAGTGGGAATATGACCAGATATATTATGTAGCCTTCATGGTTTCAGTGGTTCCCAGTGTATTGAATTTAACTAAAATAAACCATTCAGAAAATAGGATATAGGCAAAAAAGCCAAAATAAAGACAACCTCATGGCCTAAATCCAACAATTAATCTCAAGCACAGGAGACCAGCAGAATCAATGGAATTTATAGAAGTGTTAACTTGTTCTGATTGTTTCCATGATTCTGTTTTTGTTGAGGCTAACAATTCAATTGAGGCCTAAGTTTGTATACTCCTCTCTCTCTCTCTCTTTCTCTCTCTCTCTCTCTCTGTGTATGTGTGTGTGTGTGTGTGTTTGTGTGTGTGTGTGTGTGTGTGTGTGCCTGCAAGCAGCACACAAGTGATTAAAAATGGAAAATATTAATTTGATGTATTAGGTAGAGTAACAATTATACTGACCCATGTTTCACTCAAAAGGAAGCCAATAAACAATACAATGTAAAACAATAACTCAATTGATTTGAAGTGTCATTGCCATTAACTGAGGTTCTTAATTTTTTTTCATTACGAATCTTCCTAATGTTATCTAAAGGGGGGCAAGGAGACTGAGAATTCACTGACCCAAAATGGAAGATAGTTTCCCCATCCTTTCAATGCCATGTCCTCTGCTCATTTAACTAACAAAAACTAGTGTTTTATATCCTCCACAAACTCAAATAACTTCATCTTCTTCCCATTACCTGCATCCAATTGCTAGTCCTAATGGAGTAGGTCCATTGAATCAGTGGAACTCACATAAATGTTGACTTACCATTCAGCAGTGGATTCAATGGGTGTAGTCTAGCTGGGAAGCCACAGTGTTCTAGAAAGTTGAATATTGTCCAAACACGGTAACAATTTCTTTTATTTTCATTTTTATCCAGTGCCTAAACAACCTAAACACTTCCTCTTTATTATGCAAGTTTCCACTCTTAATAATCTTGAATTTGAAACACTGGTAATGTTTTTTTCAAAATGCATTTTTTTCCAATTAGCAATAAGAAAGCACCTTCAAATAATGTTCACAACCGTTATCAATAATACTACAGGTAAATCTTTTATTTACAATTTAATGAAAAGCATAAGGTGAACAACTTACCGATTTTCAATTTTTGACATCTGAAAAAGTAACGATGACTGGAGGGTTATAAATGCAAGACTCCTAAAAGTTTCCTGTTAAAAGAGAGAGAGAGACCAAGAAAGCGAAATTAACACTTATAGACATGAACTAGAGATAGGCATAGATCAGAAAAATGGTGGTTCATTTTGATTTGTGATTCATCAAGGTTGAAAAATCACAAATAACAAATTTATGGGTTTTTTTCTGATTAAAATCCCCAGGCATGTGATCACGCCTATCAATTAGCCAATGTAAGATATGAACTCACAATGTTCTCGAAAAAAATAAGCTTCAGGATTCACACACCGAAAAGGCATTTTGTTTTGTTAATATTATTACATTAATTTGAGGTTTGTAGTTCTATATTTTTTTATATTTAAAAACATAGGATATGGAATAAGTAGTAATAATAAATTACTAAGTCTAGCTTCTTCCACTAATAGAAGCTATTCTTTGCTTAAACATTTATTCCCTTTGCTTTGTGAAGGAACCAAAAGCATTAGACAGAAACAAATGATATATTACAAGAAAGCAGACTGTAATTTAATATATTTCTTCCACTCTAAACAGGTTTTTTTTAAGGACAAGCAAGACAAAACAATTTTACCTTATAAAATTACCATTACACAATTTCTCTGGCCAGGGCAGTATTTTAAAGGTTCTTCTCTGGAAAATGCAAATTCATTCATTCATTCATATGCCACCCTATTAGTGAAAAAACACTATTCTGGGTGGTTTAACAATGGATCAAAACAAATACCAAAAATTATACAAACAATTAAAAATGCTAACCATATGAAACACCAGAGGCACCAGAACAATTTGCAAAAGCAGCAGAATGAACATAAGCAAGAATCATAAAATCACAGAATCGACGTAGGGTAGGACGGGACCTTGGAGGTCTTCTAGTCCAACCCACTGCCCAAGGCAGGAGACCTCATACCATCTTGGACCTCATCCCTGATAACAACTCAGGTCAGTATGAAAACTTAAGAAACATCTTAAGTTTTCTTCTAAATGACAAACAGGTGGGAACCAGACATAGCTTCTCCGAAAGTTGATTCCATAAATTTGGGGTGACTGCGGAGAAGGACCTGCCTCTAGTGTGAAGACCTTTGGGCCTCCCTCGGGTTGGCCACCCAGAGGAACCTGGTCTGGGAGGATCTGGTTGGGCAGATGATATTGGGGTTGGACACTCCAAATAACATGGTTCCAAACTGTGGAGAGCTTTACATGTGTTAAAACCTTGAATCTGATCTGGGACACAACGGATAACCAGTGCAGGAGAGCAAGAAGTGGAGTGATATTCTCATATTTGCTCACACCAGTCAACAGTCTGACTGCCGTGTTCCGGACCATGTATCGTCTCAAAGTATGTTTTAAGAACCTGTCCTTACCATTGTAATACATCAGAGCCAGAATGTTAATTTACTTCCCATCATAGTATAATGTAAAAATGGTAGATTTATTATTATTCTGCTATTATTATTTCAATTTATATCCTGCCCTTCCCTTCAAGAACATAGGGGAGACAACAATCCACCAAAAACAAACAAGCAAAAAACAAAAACAAAACCCAAACAACCAAAACAAAAACAAGAAAATCAGAATTAAAACCACAAATTACTAAAGCCAGTGTGACTGAACATCTTTAGCTCCCCTGATCTTCTTCTGGTCCTTGGCACTACCTGAAACCGAGGCCTTGCAGGTCTCCCAGCTCTTTGGAACCAGTTTTTGGAGGCACAAGGGTTTAAGAAAGCTGGGACAATGGCTTCCCTAACAATTCTGCTGGTGGACATATTAAGTTCAACAGATGTTCTCCACTCAGTCATGGCCTTGATCACTGATAAGCTCAGGGGGCATGATGATACGGCAACAATAGAATACACAAGCAGTTGGTTTAAACTTTGTTGAAACCTCCACTGTTGTTAGCAGTAACAGAAGGCAGAACGTTCACCAAAAGTGTTAGTTTGAATGGTGTGAAATCAATCCATACCACAACTACATATTAATGGTGCCAATTAAACATTACAGAGACCTGCTTTAATATCTTGTTCGTCCCCCACACTTCGTGGTAATGACTTCCAGCATAGGAATAAATTGGAGATGGCACCCAACATGATACTAGTAGAAAAAATACAGGGCTCTTTTGCTTGCAGTTGTCAGTTCCACTCAGCTACACAAGCAACAGCAGAAGTGCAATTCTTGATGTAATGGGGGCTGTTTTTGTCCTCAACAGGGGTCCAGAGGGCTGAGGTGATGCGGTGGCTGCCAAAGGAAGGGCAGATCCATGAGAAATGAGGGCCCCCAGCAAGAGTGGTAGAGCCACCTTTTAAAATGTGGCGAGTGGAGTCCAGGTGCACCCTTTGCTTAGGTAGAGGCCCTTTTAGGGGGTGGGGGGCAGAGTCCAAGTGTACCCCTGGCTCAAGAGTGCTGCACATTTCCACCCCACCTGGGGACAGAGGGGCCCACACAGCAGCGCATGACCACATGTAACTCCACCTTTCTTATCTGGGTTATCATCAGCCAGGGGCTAATGAGTGATCCATCCTCTGTGCTAGTATCAGGGCTATTTGGCAGCTGAAATCAATAAAACTGTGGGCAGTTTTGTTCCAAATAAAGTTGAGTCTCTGTCATAGTTTTCCCTTGGCATCCTGGAGGTATTTTGCTCAAATGACAACTAATAGAATAAGTTAAGAACACAATAATATTTCTGCAACGTTAATGTTATTAACGTTGCCATCCGTTGCCTACATCAAGTTTTTTTAATGAAAATCCATGTATATTTTCACATGCACAATAGCCTATAGACATTTTTGCACACGATCTTCAGACTTTTTTAATTTGGAAAACTATACTGTGAAGGAATCTTGGATGCCGTAATTGTGGGGGAAAGAACATCTGTTAATTTGCATACCCCATCTAGGACCCCCACAAAATCTTTGCCCTATGACTCGGGAGACCTGGGTTCCCTGGCTGCCAGGAAAACTCATATCCCAAAACCACTTCTGAAATACTTCACTTACTTTGAAATCCCTACTAGGGTCACAATAAGCCAATTCTAACCTGAAGGCACATAACAACAAGGATGATAATATACATGTGACCTATCCAGCCTGGATCTAGTGTTTTTCATGTATATATTTATGAATAGTGAAAGTTGTCAAAGAAGCCGGGAATTCTGTCAGGCACAGTGACATGCTGCACCTTTAATGAATGATTCTTTTTCAAACAGGAAGAGTTACTGGGCTGGGATGACCCTGTTTCTATCGCTGGCCAAGTTATCTCCCTATAATTCCTGATGAACATTAGAGGGCAATTAGCTATGTAAACTTGAATCAAAACAAAAGATACTGTATTCTGAAGGCAAATTGATGCACAGATGTTTTAATCAGGAATGCTATAAAATCCACTTAAATAATTATTGTGCAAATAAGGTTTATTTTGAGACATTCCATATGTGATCACATGCTGTTAATTACAAAATAACTTGTGTGGGATCCTGAAAGTCAAATTTGGCAGGTAGGCTGAAGCCCACTGTTGTAAAAACCATACGCCAGTGGAGAAGTTATTTCTGTTCTAAAAACAATGAAACCTATTTTTATTTTCTTAAAAATCCCCCCCCCAAAAAAAGGGAAGACTACTTACTGAAAGAATCAATAGTTTCCAAAAATTCATAAACCCACATTCCCAGTCGTTCTAAATTGGAGAAACTAAGTCTTTTTATTCCCCCATTGAGGAAGCAAATACTTCTAGGGAGTACATATCGTATCACACTTCCACTCCCAAGGCTCTCATGTATGATGTTTTCCCCCAAATGTCTTAATATAGTCTTAATACAGGCGGACACTGTTTCTGGAGCCAGGAGTCTCATGGCTTCTTAAAAGCTGGTCAGTTTCATTTAGCACAAGCTTTTGTGGATTACAGCCCATTTCTTCATGTGCACTGCAGGATGTTACATTTTCTACTCCAATAGAAATTGCTTGGATAGTTTTCCATAGCAAAGAATATGGTATAGTAACACCTGCTCCCACCAAGATCTACCCGGATCACCCGTGCGAGTCAGGAGGTGAGGCTGAGGAGCCTGACGCCGA